GGAATGGCTCATTTAACCAGATGGACTTGATATATTTAGAATATTACATCCAAAAAAACCCAAAAAACAAAAAACAAAAACAAACAAAACAAAAACAAAACAACAAAAAAAGAATATTCCACCCAAAACCAGTGAAATACACATTTCTTTTCAAAGTGCACATGGGGGATGCCTGGGTACATCAGGCGTCAGTTAAGCATCTGCCTTTGGTTCAGGTCATGATCCCAGGGTCCTGGGATTGAGCCCTGCATTGGGCTCCTTGGTCAGTGGGAAGCCTGTTTCTCCCTCTCCTGCTCCCCTTGCTTGTACTCTGTCTGCCAAATAAAAAAGAATCTTAAAAAAAAAAAGCCATCAAAGTGCACATGGAACATTCTCAGTTTAGATAACATATTAAGCCACAAAAAAAGGTCTTAAATTAAAAAAGATCGAATCCTATCATGTATCTTTTCTGACCACAACAGCGTGAAACTAGAAATCAAGTACAAGAAAAAATCTGAAAAGAACACAAACACATAGATGCTAAACAACGTGGTACTAAACAATGAATGGGTCAACCAAGAAATCAAAGAGGGAGTTAAAAAGTATATGGAAACAAAAACACAACAGTTTAAAGTCTTTGGGATGAGGCAAACATTGTTAGAAGAGGAAAGCTTAAAAAAAAAAAAAAGAGGGAAGCTTATATCAACAGAGGCCTAGGTCAAGAGACAGGAAAAATCTCAAACAACCTAACCTCACACCTAAGGTAGATAGAAAAAGAAAAACAAAACAAGAGTAGAATAAAGGAAATTAAGATTAGAGCAGAAATAAAATAGAGACTGAAAATACAACAGATAATGAAACCAGGAGTTGGTTCTTTGAAAGATCAATAAAATTGATAAATCTTTAGCTATACTCACCTCCCACCACTGAGAATGAGAGAATGAGAGAGAGAGGGGGGGGGGCTTTACCTTTATCTGTTTATTTATGGACAGTTGGGTTGCTTCCATATCATGGCTACTATAAATAAGGCTTCAATAAGCATAGGGATGCATATATCTTTCTAAATTAGAGTTTTCATTTTCTTTGGATAAATATTCAGTAGTGGAATTACTGGATCATATGGAAATTCTAATTTTTTGACGAACCTCCATACTGTTTTCCACAGTGGTTGCACTAGTTTGTAATCCCACCAACAGTGCGTGAGGATTCCTTCCCCTGCCATCCCCCACACACATTCTGGCTAACACTTTTTATTTCTTGTATTTATTTTGATTCTGACAGGTGTAAGGTCGTATCTCATTGTAGTTTTGATTTGCCAGAGGGGAGATAAGTGGGGGGAATGGGTGAAATAGGTGAAGGGGATTAAGAATACATGGGGCACTTGGCTGGCTCAGTTGGTGGAGCATGTGACTCTTGATCTGAGGGTTGTGAGTTCGAGCCCCATGTTGGGTGTGGAGATGACATAGAAATAAAATCTTAAAAAATGCACTTATCATGATGAGCACTGAGTAACGTATACAATTGTTGGTCACTATATTGAACATATGAAACGAATATAACAATGTATGCTAATAATACTGGAAATTTAAAAAATTTTTAAAAATGAGGAAACAGTCCCTCACACAAAGAGAGAAGACTCAAAATCAGAAACAACTGCCACCACAGAAATAAAAAGGATAAGAGATTATGAAAAATTACATGCCAACAAATTGGACAACCTGGAGGAAATGGATGAATTCCTAGAAACATAACTTTCCAAAATTGAATCAGGAAGAAATAGAAAGTTTGAATAGATTACTAGCAATAAATTGAATCAGTAATCAAAAAACTCCCAACTAACAAAAGTCCAGGACCAAGGCCTTACAGTTGCATTATTTAAAGAAGAGTTAAAGGATGCCCGGGTGGCTCAGTGGTTGGGCATCTGCCTTTGGCCCAGGGCATGATCCCAGAGTTCCGGGATTGAGTCCACACTGGGCTCCCTGCATGGAGCCTGCTTCTCCCTCTGCCTATGTCTCTGCCTTCTGTGTCTCTTGTGAATAAATAAATAAAATCTCAAAAAAAAAATAAGAGTTAATACCTACTTCTCAAACTATTCCAAAAAAAACAGAAGAGGAAGGAAAGCCTCCAAATTCATTATATGATACCAAAACCAGATAAAGACACTCCAAAAAGAAGGGAACTATAGACCAATAGCTCTGATGAACACAGAAGCAAAAATCCTTAACAAATTATTAGCAAACCAAATTCAACAGTACATTTAAAAAAAAAGCACTCACTACAATCAAGTGGGATTTATTCTAGGCATGCAAATGTGGCTCAATAGTCACAAGTCAAAGTGATACATCACATTATCAAGAAACGATAAAAACTGCATGATCTCAGCAGATGCAGAAAAGGCATCTAAGTAAAACATCCATTCATGTTAGAGAAACTATAGTTCAACATAATAAAGTCCATGTATGAAAAACACACAGCTAACATCATATTCAGTGGTGAAAAATAGAGCTTTTGTATTAAGAACAGAACAAGACAAGGGTGTCTAATCTTACCATTTTTATTCAACATAGTACTGGAAATCTTAGCCAAAACAGAGAGAAAGAAGAAAGAAGAAAAGAAATAGCATCCAAATTGGCAAGGAAGAAGTAAAACTTTTACTATTTGCCGATGAGAGGACACTATATATGGAAAACCCTAAAGGCTCCACCATTATACTACTAGAACTAATTCAGTGAAGTTGCAGGATACAAAATCAAAATACAGAAATTAACACATCTCTGTGCGCTAATTATAAAATAGAAATTAAGAAAACAATGCCATTTACAAATACACCCAAAACAATAAAATACCTAGGGAAAACTTTTTTATAATAAATTTATTTTTTATTGGTGTTCAATTTACCAACATACAGAATAACACCCAGTGCTCATCCCATCAAATGCCCCCCTCAGTGCCCATCACCCATTCACCCCCACCCCCCACCCTCCTCCCCTTCCACCACCCCTAGTTCGTTCCTAGGAAAAACTTAACCAAGGAGGTAAAAGTCTCCAAAAACTAACACACTGATTAAATTAATTGAAAAGGACACAAATGGAAAGATATTCCATGCTCATTGACTGGGAGGACAAATAATGTTAAAATGTCTATACTCCCCAAAGCAATCTATAGATTTAATGCCATCCCTAACAGAAAACAAAGTTTTTCAAAGAACTAGAATAGTAAAATTGGTGGAGAACCCCCCCCCCACAACACAACACCAAATAGCCAAAGCAATTTTTTTCTTTTTATTTTTTTAGCCAAAGCAATTTTTTTTAAGAGTATGGGAATGTCATTTTATTTTATTTTATTTTATTTTTATAAATTAATTTTTATTGGTGTTCAATTTACCAACATACAGAATAACACCCAGTGCTCATCCCGTCAAGTGTCCCCCTCCGTGCCCGTCACCCATTCACCCCCACCCCCCGCCCTCCTCCCCTTCCACCACCCCTAGTTCATTTCCCAGAGTTAGAAGTCTTTATGTTCTGTGTCCCTTTCTGATAAGGCATTGGCCTCCTAGCCAAAGCAATCTTAAGAACAAAACTGGAGGTATCACAATCCCAGAGTTCAAGATATACTATAAAGCTGTAGTAATCAAAACACTATGGTACTGGCACAAAAACAGACACATAGGTCAATGGAACACGATAGAAAATCCAGAAAGAAAAACCCCACAACTTTATGGTCAATTAATCTTTGACAAAGCAGGAAAGAATGTCCATTGGGAAAAGACAGCCTCTTCAACAAATGGTGTTGGACAGCAACATGCAAAAGAAAGACTGGATTTTTTTTTTAACATCATACACAAAAATAAATTCAAAATGGATGAAAGACCTAAATGTGAAACCTGAAACCATCAAAATCCTAAAAGAGAACACAGGCAGTAACCTCTGAAATCAGCGGCAGCAACTTTCTTCTCTATAGGTCTCTTGAGGCAAGGGAAATAAAAGCAAAAATAAACGATTGGGACTACATCAAAATAAAAAGCTTCTGCACAGCAAAGGAAATAATAAAACTAAAAGGCAACGTATGGAATGGGAGATGTTTGCAAATGACATCTCCAATTAAGGGTTAGTATCCAAAATAGATAAAGAACTTATAAAGCTCAACAACCTGAAAGCAAATAATCCAATTGAAAAATGGCCAGAAGACATGAACAGGTATTTCTCTAAGAAAGACATACAGATGGGCAGCGGACACATGAAAAGATATTTATCTCATTATCAAGAAAATGTGAATCAAAACAACAACGAGATATCACCTCACCTGTCCTATGTATACTAACGATGGAACATTACTCAGCCTTAAAAAAGGAGGAGATCTCGCCATTTGTGACATGAATAGACAGAGGGTATCATGCTAAGTGAAGCAAGTCATACAGAAAGACAAATACCATATTATTTCACTCCAGTGTGGGATATAAGAAACAAAATGAACATCAAAAAATACCTGTTCATCTGGGAAACGAACCAGGGGTGGTGGAAGGGGAGGAGGGCGGGGTGGGGGTGGGGGTGAATGGGTGACGGGCACTGAGGGGGGCACTTGATGGGATGAGCACTGGGTGTTATTCTGTATGTTGGTAAATTGAACACCAATAAAAAATAAATTTATTTAAAAAAAAATACCTGTTCAGGGGATCCCTGGGTGGCTCAGCGGTTTGGCGCCTGCCTGCCTTTGGCCCGGGGCGTGATCCTGGGGTCCGGGGGTCGAGTCTAACTTCGGGCTCCCTGCATGGAGCCTGCTTCTCCCTCCTCCTGTGTCTCTGCCTCTCTCTATGTCTATCATAAATAAATAAATAAATCTAAAAAAAAAAACCCTGTTCAGCCCCGCCCCCTGCGCCCCCCCCCCCCCCGGAGCTAATAGGCTGCGTTCCTCCTGGAACGCGCCGCAGAACCCGGGGCCTGGTGACCACGGCTGCGTTCGCTTGCTCAGTCCGCTGGCCGGCCCACCGCCCTCCACCGCCGCACCCCCTCCGGTGCCAGGAACGGACCCGCAACATGCCCTACCAATACCCAGCGCTGACCCCGGAGCAGAAGAAGGAGCTTTCTGACATCGCTCACCGCATCGTGGCCCCGGGCAAGGGCATCCTGGCTGCAGATGAGTCCACCGGGAGCATCGCCAGGCGGCTGCAGCCCATCGGCACCGAGAACACGGAGGAGAACCGGCGCGTCTACCGCCAGCTGCTGCTGACCGCCGACGACCGCGTCAACCCCTGCATTGGGGGGGTCATCCTCTTCCATGAGACACTGTACCAGAAGACCGACGATGGGCGTCCCTTCCCCCAAGTCATCAAATCCAAGGGTGGCATTGTAGGCATCAAGGTGGACAAAGGTGTGGGACCCCTGGCAGGAACAAATGGGGAGACCACCACCCAAGGGCTGGATGGGCTGTCCGAGCGCTGTGCCCAGTACAAGAAGGATGGGGCCGACTTTGCCAAGTGGCGCTGTGTGCTGAAAATTGGGCAACACACCCCCTCAGCCCTTGCCATCATGGAGAATGCCAACGTCCTGGCCCGTTACGCCAGCATCTGCCAGCAGAATGGCATCGTGCCCATTGTGGAGCCTGAGATCCTCCCCGATGGGGACCACGACTTGAAGCGCTGTCAGTATGTAACCGAGAAGGTGCTGGCTGCTGTCTACAAGGCCCTGAGTGACCACCACATCTACCTGGAGGGCACTTTGCTGATGCCCAACATGGTAACCCCAGGCCACGCCTGTACCCATAAATATTCTCCTGAGGAGATTGCCATAGCGACTGTCACAGCACTGCGACGCACAGTGCCCCCCGCTGTTACTGGGATCACCTTCCTATCAGGCGGCCAGAGTGAGGAGGAGGCATCCATCAACCTCAATGCCATCAACAAGTGCCCCCTGCTGAAGCCATGGGCCCTGACCTTCTCCTATGGCCGAGCCCTACAGGCTTCTGCCCTCAAGGCCTGGGGTGGAAAGAAGGAGAACCTGAAGGCCGCCCAGGAGGAGTATATCAAGCGAGCCCTGGCCAACAGCCTCGCCTGTCAAGGAAAGTACACCCCAAGTGGTCAGGCCCGGGCTGCAGCCAGGGAGTCCCTCTTCATCTCTAACCATGCCTACTAAGCGGAGGTGTTCTAAGGCTGCCCCCTCAACACTCCAGCACGCCCCCCCCCAACACTCTTGAAGAGAGGGCCTCACCTGGGGCTCCAGGCTGCTCTTTCCCATCACTTTGGCCTCCCATGTGACCTTGGTGTGTGGTGGTGTCTGTACATGCTAACTCCGTTGCTCTTTCCAGCCCACTGCCAATAAACAACTATTTAAGGGGGAAAAAATTCCTGTTCATGTCTTCTGCCCATTTTTAATTGGATTATTTGCTTTGGAGTGTTGAGTTTTTTTTATTTTTTATTTATTTTTATCTTTTTACTTTTTTTTTTAAAGATTTTATTTATTCATGAGAGAGAGGGGGGCGGGCAGAGACACAGGCAGAGGGAGAAGCAGGCTCCATGCAGGGAGACCGACGTGGGACTCGATCCCAGGCCTCCAGGATCACGCCCTGGACTGAAGGCAGGTGCTAAACCACTGAACCACCCAGGGATCCCTGGAGTGTTGAGTTTCGTAAGTTCTTTATATATTTTGGATACTAACCCTTTAGCAGATGTCATTTACAAATATCTTCTCCCATTCCAGTGGTGGCCCTTCAGTTTTTCGTTGTTTCCCTTGCTGTGCAGAAGCTTTTTTTTATGTAGTCCCAGCAGTTTGTTTTTGTTTTTGTTTCTCTTGCCCCGGAAGCTACATATCTAGTAAGAGGTTGCTATGGCTGATGTCAAAGAAAAAAAAAAAGAGACAATAACAATAAACAGTCTCTTAAATACAGAGAACTAGTGGTTGCCAGAGGGAGGGGATTAGCGGGGGTGTTGGTGATGTGAAATAGATAAAGGGGATCAAGAATACACTTATTTCTATGAGCACAGAATATAGATTGTTGAATTATAGTGTCCACCTGAAACTAATATAATGGTTCAATAAAAATAACACATTGACCACCTTAAATTTACACAATGTTGTATGTCAAATCTTATGAAATTTAATGTCCTGAGTCTGAATTAGCATGTGGAAAAAACAAAAATGATAAAACTTGTTAAAATAGATGTAAAAATGATCTTAAAATTACTGTATTAAAATAATAATCTCTTTAGAGTATATGCTTTTTTTAAAAAAATAATACTTTAACTCAAGGAAAATATAACTACAGAACACTAAGATAAAAAAAAAAACACTGCAATTAAAAAAAAAGGTATGTGGAGCAAAACAAATGTATCTATGTCGCCAGCTTTGGAAAATACATTCTGCCACAAAAGTGAACCCTTTTGAAGGGAGAAGAAATGAGTGGGAAATATCAGAAAGGGAGACAGAACATAAAGACTCCTAACTCTGGGAAACGAACTAGGAGTGGTGGAAGGGGAGGTGGGCAGGGGGTGGGGGTGAATGGGTGACGGGCACTGAGGGGGGCACTTGACGGGATGAGCACTGGGTGTTATTCTGTATGTTGGTAAATTGAACACCAATAAAAAATAAATTTATTATTAAAAAAAGTGAACCCTTTTATGCTCCTTGAACTATTTACAGGACAAATGCTATAAACACTTTAAAATATATGTTACTAGGACCTATTTCAAAAACTGACTTAAAGTTTTTTAATTTATGACATCAGGGTCAGGTACTCTCCCCCCTGCTGAATCCTATTAGGTACCATATTTCTTTTCCGAGGGTCCTACAGTCCCTATCTACTCTATAGACCAAAGATTAATTCTTAGAGTCTTTGTATTTGTGTCAACCAAAGTTCTTATTTTTAACCTTAACCTATTAAGTTACAGGAGATGGTTTTTTTTCTAGTTTCTATGTGCTATGCGTATATGATGTACAACAAAGCCCTATATAAAAAAATGAATAAGCAACATGGTAAACAAATCGAACAGCAACAAGTGAGGCTAGGATATCCTTTCATTCCATGAAACCTAATCTGTCACCCATAAAATCATCTACTTATAATTTTTTTCTCTCAAAATATTAATAAAGAACAGCTGGTTATAACAGAGTATCATATTTCAGGGCAAGACTCGCATTAAAAGAGAGGCAAGCCAAACACAGAGCTGTTTCATGGTGTGCCACTTCCCAGGGTACACACCACTTGTGTTCTGCAGCACCACCACCTCCTCTTTATCACTGTTTTTGGGGCATCCATCTTGGCTCTGTGTTCTCCCCACCTCACTGGAAGGAATGCCTTCCTTCAAGGCCACAGCTGGTCTAGTGTCTCTTGCTTTCTTCATTCTCCAGGTCTGTCTCTGGATATCTACAGATTTCATCAGTTGTCTGCAGAGGGGCCAAAATTCTCGTGTTTGTAAATAACTCTGATCCACCATTTTCCCATCACACATCTCTAGTGTGATACACGAGGACCTCCACTATAAATAACCATTCCTCAAATAATTTCCTCCAGCTGCAATCTCCTGTGACCCTCTTTCTTCTCTCCCCTTCCTCCCTACTAATCTAGGGTCTTATTATTTGTATTTTTATTCTTTCTGTACAGTGACAACCATACAGTGTGTTGCTATTAACATTTAAGAAAGATTAACAATGATCCTTTTTAAGCTCTTATTTCTGACCTAATGTGACAAATGATGCTCCTTAGGAATCAGTCCTGCTCTCACACTTTTTAAAGATTTTATTTATTCATGAGACACACACACACACACACACACACACACACAGAAGCAGAGACACAGGCGGAGGGAGAAACAGGCTCCCTGTGGGGAGCCCAATGTGGGACTCATCCCAAGACCCCAGGATCACACCCTGAGCCAAAGGCAGACATTCAACCACTGAGCCACCCAGGTGTCCCTCTCATACTTCTTTTGTATCCATTCACTCCTGTTAGGGAATCCTTTTGATTTCCCTGGCTTCAAATATTATTAATGAATTGGAATGGCAATAGAATCAGCACAAATCTCTCTTCAACCTGGAGACCCAAATATTCACCTGCCCACTCATCAGTGATCACGTCAATGACCCCCAACAGTGACCAGGTGTCAAGATGAATTAACCATCTCCCTGAATAATTCAATCCTTATCATTCCCAAACTAAATTTTTGGTACTAATGTCATGTCAAATCCTGAGTGACATTTTGGATGCCCTGGCACCACACATATCAATGAACAATCCATCCACTCTCCTGAATCCACCTAATGATTCTCGACGTTCAATAATTCTTCATCACCTCTCAGGTCACATAGAAAATATGTTCACAGAAGGTCCTTTTTTGATCCAGTAATCAAAATGATAATACTATTTTCCTGTGTTGATTTTTCAATTTTTACTTACATATATATTATCTCTTGCATATTATTTTTCTAAGTTAGAAGCTTCTTGAAGAGAAGACTAATGTAGGATTTAAAGTATTATACACAAGGGGGCTTCAAGATGATGGGAGAGTAGAAGGATCTAGAGCTCACCTTGTCCCATACACACACAAAACAGCTACATCTATGTGACTAACTCTGAAAAAGCCCTGAAGACTGGAAGAACAGACTTTCCACAGTTAATCATAGAGAGGGGGCCATGTTGGAAAAGGTAACCCCCCCCAGCAAGACTAACCACAAATGAGAGGGGTACCATAAGCACAGAGAAGAGAATCAGACCCCACACCAGGCACTGCTGGCACTGGAAAACCTCACTGGGAAGATGAGTCCCATAACATCTGGTGTGGAAAACCAGTGGGGCTTAGCTCTGAGAGCTTTGAAAATCAGTAGGCTTAACTCTGCAGGAGCTGGAGGGTAATAGGAAATGGAATCCCTGATCTTAAAGAGTCAGCATACTAAACTCAACCAGAGAGACAGTGTAGGAGCAACAGTTTAAAAAGTGCCTAGGATATATATGAAGAAAATTTACTGACTAATCTTAGAATGTGTGCCAGAGAGGCAAGAAGCTGCAGAAGCTTTCCCTGGGAACAAAAATGCCAGTGGGCACTATTTCTCTTCCCCTCCCCTCAGGCTGGATAGCCAGACACTTACAGAAGTCAGTGCTAACAGTCTCCATTTACCTTGCTAGCACTGTGTGTCCCACCCCAGCAAACTCACCCCATCCAGCCTGCCCACTTGGACAGGAATCCCTGCAAAGCAGCTCCTGCCTTATTATACCCACTAGGCAGGCCCAGCTTGGATCAGCACCACTCTGTAGTGACTCCAGCCATACGGAGTGTGGTGATATAACCCCACACACCAGTCGAGTGTGTCCACAGTTCCTGTGGTTGGCTTCTTGACTGAATGTGCAGGGATTTGTTATGCCTATAGCTATGACAGAGAAACTAATTGTAGACAGTGAGGCTGACTTCCTGGCTCCACATTGCAGCTGGCTGGGATGAAGGCAACTGTGGCTTAGCCACAACAGTAGGGCACATGCAGCCCATCCAGGGTGCACCCCTGTGTACCTGGTTCTGGTGACAGTGGTTATTGTACGTCAGGCAACAGTACTTCTACACAGGGCACTAGATCCAAGACCAGGAGTTGTAGCTGACCTACCAAATATATCAGAAAACAAAACAGGGTTAGACAAAATGAATAGAATTGCTAAATGAAATGGAGACAAGCCATATGTCTGATAAATGAAGTAATGGTCATAAAGATACTCACCAGACTTGAGAAATGAGTGGACAAACTCAGTGAAAACTTCAGCAAAGAGATAGAAAATATAAAAGAGAACCAGTCAGAACTGAAGAATTCAATAACCAAAATAAAAATACACTAGAGGGAATTAACAGCATATTAGAGGTGCCAGAAGAACGGATCAGCAACTGGAAGACAAGTAATGGGAAGTAAACCAAATTGAAGGGCACAGAGAAAAGAATACAAAAACATGAGAAGAGGCTAAGAGAACTCTGTGACATCATCATGTGTAATAATACTTGCATTATAGGGGTCTGAGAAGGAGAAGAGAGAGAAGCAGTCATAACTAAATGAACCTTACAAGAAATGGTGAAGTGAATTCTTTTTAGTGGAAAGAAAAAGCCATAACTAGAAGAAGATTATGAAAGGGAAAAAATTTCACAAGTACAAGCAAACACAGTAAAGGTAATAGAGTTATCATTCATAAAGCCTGTAT